AAGACTGTCCGGGGGTGGAGGTGTTATTGAGATAGGCACAAGGACCACTGCAAAGGGATTTTACAGTGAGGGAGAGATATTTGGCTCAACTCCAAATATAGCATGGGCAGGTGGGAATTTACAACCAAGGAGAAAGGTGGGGGCAGGGTGGGGGGCAGTCAGTGGATGGAAAATGACTAAGGGGAATCGAGGATAGGAGGATTCTGCCCAAACACACTTAACAGGATTCTTGCTAAGGACCGGCCAAGGTAATCAGACATCCCCTGCGGGATGGGGGAGGATGAGGAACCTGATTAGATTCAAGCATAAGCAGGTAGCAAGGGTGGGCGTTCTGGTTAAACTGGGCGCTTAGCAGGGTTCTTGCTAAAACTGGGTTTTACAAGGATGTGCACAGATGGGCAGAGGAGTGGGTCAGGAGCCTGAATAAATTTTGATCAAGCAAAGAGTCTTTGTCATACCTAAAAGATAATGTCTCCAAGATCTCTGAGTAAATACAAAACCCTTTTTCTCTGGTTGCCCTGTTCTTTGCTTCATACTGTCTCCTCACCCTTCCCTTACCTATATTAGAGTTCAGCTTTGGTTATCATAGTTCTACATCTCCTCAGCCACATCTGTGCAGACCCTCTCTGGGGTATTTTCTACAGATGGTTCAGATGAGAACTGACAGCAGCAAGTGGGGGAACCTTTCTTTGAGACGGAAGACAGGGGAGGAAGAGAGTATCTGCGGCTATATAAACAGCAGTATCCAGCAGACGGTTGAATATGGATATCTGGAACTCTAGTGAAAGTGATTGGCTGGAAATAAGCATCTGTGAATTATTAGCTTATAGTTTGCAGTTGAATCCACGGGGATAGGAGAGAAAAACCAGAGAGAGTGGAGAGTAAGGAGAAGATCAAGAACAGGCGCTTGAGATAATCAGCATTTAAGGAGCGATCAGAGAAAACTGACAAGGAGGTCAGAGAATGGGAAGGAAGAGAGTTTCCAGAAGGAGATAGGCCAACACTGTGACATTCAACAGAGTGGTCAAATAACATGAGGTCTGAAAAGAGCTCTGAATTTGGCACTGGTGGGAAGTCAATGACAACCTTTGAGAGGGAAGTTTTGGCACAGAGGTGGGGGACAGAGGCTAGGGATGGAGGCACCAATTGCTACTTACTCTTTCAGGGAGTTTGACTATAAGAGAAAAAGAAACTAAAAGCAGTAGCAAAGGGAATTGCTGAAGTAACTGCCATGAGGAAGGGAGAGGGTAGTAAGCAGGGTGACCAGCTCACAGAACAAATTAAATGGGACGGGAACAGATTTGCAATATCATCAGTCTGAACAATTGAATAATTTCCTCCAGTATTGCTCAAACATTTAGTTGTAAGAACAGGCAGGTAGATCAAAAGTAAAGTGTTCTTCGGATGAATTCTGCAATGGCTACAGTGGCTGGTGACTATCCTGTTGGTCAGCACAAATATAGAACATTTCCATCATTGCAGAGAAGCCTTTTGGAAAGCACTGCGCTACAGGGTCTAAACTGGATAGAGCTGAGGTCCTGATGAAGTAAAAGAACAAATGTTGGTGGAGTAATAAAGAGCAAATCTTGGAGGAAGATATCTTGTGGACAGAGATAGGTACATTGAGGTTTAAGATTTTAGGAGCAGAGCTGTTCTTGGTGAAAAGGTTCAGGGTTATGTCATGGGAGAGGAGCTGCTGAACTAGCCTGTGGATAAAGATTTTTGAAATGGAAAAGACCAAAGAACTTTGAAGCCAGGTTGTTGGTGAACTTATCCATGCTGAAGTAGCTCAAATTGATAGTAATAGGTGGTTGGAAAGAAGAACCTTTACAACTACTGCCAAAATCCTCAGTGAACAAAGAAGTAATGACAAATGATTAGTAGCTAACAGCAGTGAGAGAGGTGGGCACCTCAAAATGGGAAGGATGTTGTTGCTCAAGTTCCTTGTGAAGTGCGCTAAAACAAGCAGTGACTGAGGACAAAGGGTGTCCTTTAGGTAGGGCCAGATTTCAATGAAAGCATAACCTTGGGGGAAACATTTGATGGAGAGGCTGAAGATGCAGAGGAGTTTATTACAATGGAATGAGATTTCCAGAGGACCTAGTAAAGCTTTGAAGGAAGTTTAGTAAAAGAAGAAAAATCTACGAGTACAGATAACCATAGTAACATGAGAAAAAGATGGTTCTTGAATGTCTAAGACGTGCATGTGGGGTAGTGGCCAGGGAAGACTGAAGTCCCAGGTGTAGTCAGAGATCTCATAAGGTTAGAAGGCTACAGTTTTTGTGTAACATTCAAACAGTATATTGCTAAGGAACAAACTTGTCTATCTGATTAGGGAGGTGTCTAGATGGATCTTGTATGCCTAGCTCCTGACATCATCCTGACAGCAACCAGTTATAACTAGACCCAGACCTTTTCTATTACCCAAGTCCTGGGCAAGGGAGAGAATCTCAATGCATACCCACCAATGGAGTCCCAGTGAGTTCAGTAGCTGGGTGACCTAAGATGTGGAGTCATCACAGGGGAGGCCTGAAGCTGCCTAGACCTTGAGCTAAATCTTCCCCATGTCATCAGAAATTAGCATGTGTACTATGTATAGCTCTGAGTGATGTCATGGAAGGCAGTGGTTGGTGAGGAACTATAGGGCACAAATTACAAAATACTTTCAGTTCCACTCGAAATGGACCTCAGAGTGATTTCCACCCTGGGAGGAGAAGGGAGAAGGAGGAGGGACAGATAGGAACAAATTTTTCCTATCATTACCTTCTCTGTTCTACTCTGGAGACAGAGGTAGAGACACTCTCCTGCAGCTTCTCAGACTGAGCTATTGTTAAAATTCAGATTCTGACTCAGCAGGTGTGGTGGGGGAGGGGCAGAGATGTCACATTTCTGACCAGCCCCCTGGTGATGCTCATGCCTTTAGAACACAGATCACACTTTTGATTGGTAGGTGAGGAGGGGGACAGTCAGATGGGTGTAAGGGAAAGCCCGTATAATGTTTGGGAGGGGGGACCCGAGTCAGAGAATTTAGACCGGTCTGTTATTGGAAAGAGTGGGTGGGAAGGAGAGACGATACTATGAGGTTCTGCAGAGAAATAGTCATAAATCAAGGAGAGAGAAGAAGCCAAAGGTGAAGTCATTTCTGGGCCCAGTAGGCAATAACATAACATTGACCGTTAACTGGCAGAATTTTCAACTATGAGTTTGGTTTCTCCCTTAGGTCATCTACCCCAAAACCAGAATGAGTTTCCCCAGAGATATAGCTGCTAGAAGTTTTTACAGCAGGTGGCACTCTTACATTATCATTCGGAATTTAGCAAAGAAGCAGCAGGAGTCCCAGGATTGCCTTGTAAGGCAATTGCTGAATACAGTAAATCTTCCTTAGGTTCCCCTTTCACAGTTCCAGGTACTCAGGTAAATTTTCCCACCACCCTCCAGTTGGGAACACATCCTGTACATGTGCTGCATTTTATATCTGCCAAGTGCTTCACAGGGTTCTAGTGAACACAATGCAATAGGCAGACTTGTGCTGACTCTCACAGGTGCCTGAGTCCTCTTCCCTTAGAATTCAAACCACCACCAACCCTCCTGATTATGTGTTCTCACTCTGTGGACAGTTCAGTTTTGCATGTCACTGTTATTTGTCCTACTCCCTCTTAGAAGAGAAGCCCATTGATCAGATCAATTTACTTTCTCCTACCGCCCTCAAAGACACCTCAAAGGAACTCCTCTCATCTCTCACCAACCTACCTCCTCTTTCCCCCTTAATGTCAACAACTCTTCACTGAAGTCTGGAATGATGAAGCTTTATTCAAAACCCACGCTAACATTTTCCCCATGGCAGCATTTAACTTTATATTAACTAAGAAACAGCATTTCCCACTAACCCTGCACTTCTCACCCACCACTACTTAATTTCTTGGCCAACTCTCAAGTAATTCTGTGACCCAGAATAGGTCCCACAAAACCCTATAATCGATCACATTTAAGGAGCTAGGTGGCACACATCCCTTCCACAAACTTCAATATGTGCTCAGGGCTGAAAGCCTTCCTCTGAACTCTCCCAGCATGTCCTCCAGGGGTTGTAAAAATTTCCAGTGGCAATGCATACTGGGAAGAGCAAGTGTCTCATACCTGGGGTTTCCCCAATACTCCAAAAGCACATCCTCACCTTCTTATCTATGATTCATTTCCAGCATTTCATTCATGCACCTTAAATTGTCTTTGACCACCACAATCCCAAAACAACCATCAGAAGGCCCAGTTCTCCTTCTGATCCCTGAAAGAGCTTAGAGAGGTCACTGAAAATAGAGGCTTTGGTTGACTGTGTCATTTCCAAACTGTTTTACATCCTTGGGCAAGCTGGCCATGGAAGCAGCATTCATGAGGAAAACTCTATAAAGGGAACTATTTGAATTTCAAAGATATTACTCAAGGTGATACCCAACTAGTAAAGCATAATGAGGGCGGTGGATATTAAATTTGTTACCATTATCAGAAATCTTTTCACTATAGAGGGGCAAGGAATAAGGGGATGGGGAGGGGAAGGGAGAGCTTTTGGTGATGGTGTAGAAGTAATGGAGCTTGAAACAGCTACAGTGAATAGAATCAGTATTCAGGTTATAGGAAGGTTAACAGATGGGTGGATGCATCGTCTAACTCTGCTGTTTTTCCCTGGTCTGGGATGTAAATTCACAGAACCATAGGACTAGAAAGATTCTTGGAACACTTAGTCCACCCCTTCATTAAACTGATAAGGAAACTGAGCCTCATGGTGGTTGCAGTTTGCACAAGGCCCACATTTATTTATCAGTGGAGTGAGGACAAAAGTCCCATTCTCCAGATGCCAGTATGTAGGCACATTCCAGAGTTTAATACCTAGTTCTTCAGTATCATTACTGATAAGATAGCATCCGGGTATTGTATAAAGAGAAACGGAGTTGTTTTTTTCTTCTTCCTTCTTGTTTCTCCTTCCCTAATCTCTACCTTTCCTTTTTTAGGTGCTGCTTCCATGAAGAGTCAAGCATATTTCAACAAGACTGGAGAACTGCCATGCCATTTTACAAACTCTCAAAACATAAGCCTGGATGAGTTGGTAGTATTTTGGCAGGACCAGAATAAGCTGGTTCTGTATGAGCTATTCAGAGGCAAAGAGAACCCTCAAAATGTTCATCCCAAGTATAAAGGCCGCACAAGCTTTGACAAGGACAATTGGACCCTGAAACTCCACAACATTCAGATCAAGGACAAGGGCTCATATCAATGTTTCATTCATTATAAAGGGCCCAAAGGACTAGTTCCCATGTACCACATGAGTTCTGACCTATCAGTGCTTGGTATGTAGTCAATGGCACGTTCAGATCCCTGGCCTTCTCAGATGAGACTGCAATGAGCAGAGAAATGTTGGGGGGGGGGCGGTGGCGAGGGAGTGGGAGGGTTGTGGGTGGTACCCGTAGAGAGAAGGCAGGAGACAGCCATTTCTGGGAAGTCCATTTGAAGGGAATGCAGGGTTTGGTGATAGGGAACTGAAAATCCTTTGTACTTTTTATAGTTTGCTTTTGAAGGATCAGTAAGAATTTGCTTTGGGGACAACTTAGGGCTAACTGAACAAAGTTGATGTGGCTAAGGGAAAACCACGGGTAATTTGGCCATTACTAAGTTTACGTAACTATACAGGCCTCAGATCTCTTTTACATTCATTTTTTTCCTTTGGTCCAAGATTTCTCACCCACTAAATCTTTGCCTAGAGCTCCTAGCAAAGGTGACAGCTGATTGATTTGGGTTTTTCCTTCAACCTCCTGGAGGTCACTTACGAACTGTTTGCTGCCCAACCAAGAGCCCGGTAGACAGAAGGGAAATAACCCAGCACATATCCCAAAACTGACAAATCAGCTCCTCTTTTTTTCCAGGCCTTGAAAAGCCTAACTATCACTACAGACTTTTTTTTATTATAATGCAGTAAAATTATTTTTTATTTTGATGCACAGTTCTGTTAACATACGTATAGATTTATGTAACCACCACTATAAATAGGATACAAACATTTCCATCACCCTAAAAAAATTTCTTCATGCTATTGCTTTATAATCATACCCTCTCCATACCCTAAACCCTGTTTTGAATCCTACAGTCTTATCTTTTTTTAGAACATCACATAAATGGAGCCATACAGTATGTAACCTTTTAAGATTGGCTTCTTTTTTTTTTTTTTAAGATTTTATTTATCTATCTGACAGAGAGAAACACAGCAAGAGAGGGAACACAAACGGGGGAGTGGGAGAGGGAGAAGCAGGCTTCCCGC